GAATCAAGCACTACAATACTAAACCCCCACCCCAAATCCACAACCGAGCCCAGCACGGGGCGTCCCCCACGGTCTGAAACCTCACCCCTGGGGAAGAAGCTTCCTCACAGCCTCTGCTGCAGCTCAGCAGCCTCAACACTGCTTCCCACACACCCCGACAAGGGTTTGTCACTGCTCAGGCTGGCCCTGAACACGTGTCACAGAGACGAAGCCACTTTGCTCAAGGCTTCTGTCCCTGCCCCATCACCTACTGACCCTCGAGGTCCCAGGGACAATGCTGTCCCTCAGGCTGGGGGGCTCTGAGGAACTGAAGGGGGAGTATTGGCCTTTCTGTAACCCCCCATGTCGCGTGTTCAAGACTGTGGGGGAGAAAGGCAAGGCACCCTTTGATCTTCAGCTGCTGCTACAGGAACACTGCTCAACTTTGAAGTGCTTTTCTGCTGCAAAGACAACTCTTGTAAGTCAGGTGTCTTCATCTTTGATAATGCCACACAGCCAAGAATTTTTTTCTAGAACACCATTCAGGCCATTAATGCACCAGGAAAAATGCTTGAAGCGACATATCCACTTGAGTCACCAAAGTTTTTAGGGAACGTGCAGTGCTTTTTAGACCTGAAGGATCTGTCATGCTCTTATTTATAATGCAGCCTGATACACAAAGCTTTGTCAATGTTATTTCCCTCGTCATTCTGTGCAGCCTGTTTGGTTTGGGTTTTTTTTTAACCCTTGGCACCTTTCTAAGATGATGGCAAAGGGAAAAGCTGCTTTCTTAGGCCCCCTGAAGTGCTGTTATTCAGCAAATGGGAAATGATCAACAAGTACTCTCCTCCTCCAAACAATCATTTGGCCATGTGCAAACAGATTACAAACAGCACATTCCCAAAGGAGATGCAGGTCAGGAATTGTTTCCCTACTCCCTTCGAAGGGCTGGGGGAAGGATGGACAATGTTTCCCCTTTTCCCTGTGCAACAGAGGTCAGGTTTATAGTTCTAGCCGTGGCTTATGCACTTGCTAAAAGCAGTTTCTCTGCAAAATAATGTATCAGCAAGAGTCATCCTTTAGAAGGTTCCCTTTAAAGCGAAGGATAAAATAAATGTCGTTAAGGAGGCAGAAGTTTATTTCTGTGAGATTTACTCTACAAACTTTACAAACACACAATTGTTTGTGCTCTAGCCTGCAGAAAATTCAGAGGATTTCCCTCTTCCAGGAAAAAAAAAAAAATAAACAACCTTGAACACAAACAGCTTAGATTCAAAAATTCAAATTCTTCAGCTTTTAACCTTCAAACCCATAAGGCAACAGAAGCAAGCCAAAGACTGAAGTGCAGGGGAACTGGCACATTCCCCCACCAGACCCAGGTTCCAGCCAGTTCTCTCTCGGCTGGAAAACTTACCCTTGTACCGGTGCTGATCTCATGGGGTGTTCTGCCTGTCCCAAAAAATCATATTATTTTCTACCTTCAGGGACAATAAAGCCAGACTACAGTTAAATACAGAAAATTCTCATTTATCATCCTTTGCTGTAAGTCACAGTCCAGAAGAACCTCCCAACACAGCCTTTATTTCAAGCTGTTTAAAGTTCTGCATTTTCAGTAACAATTATTAAAATTAAAGAAGGAAATTCTCACTTACACTTAATCAAAATGACCATCAAAAAAGCAGTGTGTCAGAGACCAAGTCTTCATGCATTACCTTATAATACAGCATATAGGAAATATAAACAACCCATATAAATCCTTTACATGCACAGTAGGAGTTTTTTACATTTACTTGGTCAATTTACAAAAGAATCATTCTAGGCAGATAGTTAAAAATATCATACAAAGACATGAGTACAACCTCATCTTACTCCTTAACTTTCTTATTAAAATGTAGACATTCTCCTTGACACAATAAAAATATGTATGTGTATGTATATATATATATATGCATATGTATATATATACACTGTCCATTTTGTCTCTGTATTCCAAATATTAACAAAAACACTTTAAATGCATTATTCTGGCTAGCATGAAAAGACATTACAATTTATGAACAGTAATGGACTAGATGATCTTTCGAGGTCCCTTCCAATCCCCAACATTCTGTGATTCTGTGTAATGGACAAATACCTCTTTTCTCTAGAGGGGCTGATAAAAGTGTAAGTCTATATCAAAAATAAAAATCAGTTGCTTTTAAAAGAACAACATAACTGTTAAAAAAAAAAATCAACTAAAAGTTGTGCTGTTTCCATCCAAACAGACATCTTAAGATTTATTATAGAGATTTAAAAGCAAACTGAAAGCCCAATTCCATTAATTTATTTTTATTATTATTATTTAAAAGGCATTAAAGTTCTGAAAACCAAGTTCATGCACGAAGGGTGAACAGTAGCTTTCAACTTCATAGAAAACAAAACAGTGGAAAAAATACTATTTTTGAGGACAATGAAAAAGCAGTTTGGATGCTTAAAAAAAGACTTCTAAAACCAGAGCCAAAGTAAGGCAACAAAAGGTGGCACAAAAACTGTATTTACCTCAGTCTTCAATACGAAACAAAGAAATCCAACATGCAAATCTTTACTTTTTCTGTTATTAGATAGCCTGTGTACCTGCAGGTGTTGATCTGCGCCGACTTTCAACCAGATCCACTTTGCAGTTAAATACGCAGACTAGGCATTGTTTTTAAGGCAGTCAGTCACTCTCTTCACTGGAGTCAAAAATGTCACTGAGTCGGAAAGCCTTCTTCTGTTGACTGGTTGTTGAATCATCAGATTTTTTTTTCCCTTTCATTTTTTGTAATCTTTCTTCAAATTCTGGAAGTTTCTTTTCAAAAATATAATCAACAATTTCTTTGAAAAAAGAAAAAAAAAAACAACATAGTCTTAATTGGATCTGTAGGGGAACTGGATGCCATGGGGAAACAGCAATTATTTTGTCAGTGTTAAATGCAAAAAAATCTCACTATTCCATAGTAATCACAGTGGCTGCAGGGTAGATCAGACACACGAAAAGACAAACTAAAAAAGCACAGTCATGAAACTTTTAAAGCCAAGGTATTAAAGAGAAGAGGTTGATAAGCACTGCATGAAGATGCCATTGAAAGTAAACTGTTACTAAAAAAGCATTTAATGAAATAAGTGTAAAGCCTGGGCTTTTAGCCAATTTACTTAGGGGAAACGTAATTAAGAAAGAATTGAACCAGAATACATAGTCTCTTAGACTCAAGAAAAAAATCTTAAGGACTATAAACAGCTGGGATACTGACCAGAAAAAGTCTTTTTTTGCCAAAAAGGGACACAGGAGACTTTTAGCTTGTAAAATCTTGCTTGAACATAGCCTTTAGGGACATCGCTGAAAAGAGAAGAGTTCAAAGAATTAGTGGTGCAAGGAATTATTACAAAGTTTAGTTGTTACTGAGTTATCCATTCATAAGAATGACGTCAGTCAAACAGTATCTTAGCTTTAGGTAGAAAGGATGGATTTCAAATCCTAATCAAAACAGTTTTTCAAGACAGCAGTTCTCCTTGAAGGTAAGAACCTAAACCATGCTGTTATATGTATGTATTATATGTTTAGCAAAAAGAAACTGTAAATACAACAAAGCGTGTGGAAAAAGAAAAAAAGCACTGTAGAGAAAGTATAGCATTCACAGTGTGGTAATCTCATATTCAGCACTTTCTTTGTTTGGGAGAAGACTGTTACATTGTATTACATGTTCCTATAATTATTCCTGTTTCCCTAGGCATTGATTAACACTTGGAAAAGTGTTTTATCAAAGACTTCAGCACGGACTATATAACACAGTTTTAGTACCCAGAATACACTGGGAATACAATAAGGGTTGCCTGAAGTGGTTAAAATTAAGTTTCACAGCTTATAGGCATGGCAGATTGCTCAGTACAATACAAGTATATACAACTATATGTTACCAAATTAAATGACGTTTTCTATAGTTGCAGAGGTTTAAGAACTTTGATTCCCATCTGCTTCAACTATCCTTTGTATCCAAAACAAGAGGGGAAAAAAGTTTACCCGACAATAGTACTGAGTTCTTCCCAGTTTACTTCATTAGGATCCTCCACTTTCATTTCATGCAACCTGTGAACATAGAACAGAAAGAGTTTGTAGGCAGAATTCAAGAAATAATTCAATAATGCTCACAGCTCCTCCAGTCAGAAGTCACAGGACACTCTGTCCAAAGAAAGAATGGTTGTGAAACCTGTATGAAACTGCAGGCATGCCCTTCTCACCCAGCAAGCTTTTATCAACACAACTCAAACAGTAAGAGATGCAAAAACATTCCAGTACCTCCAAACTATACCTTTTAATAAGGTTGATCTTGGCCTGTAATCCTTTGATCCCCCGATATAACTGCTGCCCTTTGGTCATCTTCTTTGTTAAAATTGCAGTCCTTTGAAAACACACACAAAAAAGGTTTCTATCATTTCAAGAAAATCCAGGCATCAAAAGGAAGTGTCTTCAAGATGCTACTGCTGCCACAGAGAAGCCAAAATCAGGCTTCACTGTCACAGCAAGAAGAAAACTTACCACAGCTAGCAAAGAGTTATTTGTGTCAGACAATCATCATGGTACAAACAGTTTTGCAGAATAGTTAAATACTCCCCAGAACACATTTTATTATCTCAATTTACAATAAAACCTTACCATTTCTGTTTACATTGTCTCCAATATCGAGTCCCCACTTTAGCTTCAATCTCTGTCCATGGTAATTTCTGGAGCAGTTTCTTACGATCAACCACAACATCTCTATTTGACTTTTCTGATGATGCATGAGAATTTTCACCTTCCATTTCAACTCTTTTCCTAACCACCTCCTCCACTGCATCCATTAACTTCTGGATCTCTTTCTTCGACCAAGGACCATGATTAACAGCTAAAATTAAAAACAAGGTTAAGGTATTAATTTATCATAAATTATTTGGGAAAAAAGGCAAAAGAGCAAATGCTTCATTTTGCATTTTAATTCTTTACAGGACCAGCTTCTTAACACACTTCCTAGAAACTCTTCTGCATACGAGATTTGAGAAAGGAGTTCAGCCTAATTACTGAAGAATAGCACTGCTCCTTAGTTTCTATCTTTTAAAACCTGGTTGCCAAATTCTTCCTGCCCTCCCCCTGAAAGCATCTATTTAGATGCCAGTTCCACTTGAAGAGTTGCATTTGTTCCATTTCTTTTCCCTTTTCTATCAGAGACTGTTCTCACCCCTTCCATATGAAAATGCAATCAGTGGTCTGGAAAAAAAAACCCACCACCAATAACTAATTAAAAAAAAAATACACTCTAGGGATTTTTTCCTAAAGGCACATACAACACACAGTTAAAATAACTTCTCAAATTGCAGTATACAGAATTATTTGTTTTTCTTCAAATTACGCACCCGACTTGATTTCAGAGTACTTCATAGCAACTGAGAGGTTTGAACGGGACATCATCTCAGAAATCTTCTTCCAATCATTACCATGCAGAGCATGATAGCTCTTTAATTTTTCTTTTTCTTCCTCAGTATACCTAGTTGAGGAAATGGGAATAGCTTCAGCTGCAAATTCTTAAAAGAGCTCTAATCTTCACAGGCATTTCAATCTTACTCATCACCACCACTGCAAGTCCCATTTTAGAACAGAGGAATTGATAAGGACTAGTCAGAAAAATGAACTGAAAAATGTGTCAATTAAGTCACAGTAACTGGCACAAATGATCTTCATTGATCATATAAATGAAGATGATCTTGAAGCTTCAAATTCAAACTCAAAATACTGGGGATCGAAGTAATGGATGTGAATGTAGCCGTCCTCAGATGATCTTCATTTATATCCATTTTTAATGTACAAATAAAGATCAGACTGATACTAGCATTCAGAACCTCTTTCAAATTACACTCTTACCTCCCTTTATAATTATTTGGGTCAAACATCTTCCTTGCTCGATAATATATCAGCCTCCAGGGTCGTGGTATCCCCTCAGCTAGAAGGGAAATGATTCATTTTAAAGAAACATTTCTCACACTGGTGAGGCCACTTTTAAAAAGCCAAACCAAACCAAACCAAACCCAAAACCCAACAACATACATTTTCATGACCGTGCTGTCAATTCTCTCCATTCAAGAGACTTCGGTAACTGCACATGAAATAGTCTGAACAGAATCTCCTGAGGAGTTTGAAAGACGTAATTGTTATGACCATGGTGAGATGGTGAATGCTGACAGCTGGGAAATAGTAGTGTACATGGGTGCATACGTGTGGGTGAAAACTGAACTGCTGAACTCTCTGGCCTACGCTAACAACACAGAATGGAAAGTCACTCAGAAAGTGCACTGAGTAGATTCATCAGAGATGTTACAAAATGGACGTTTGCCATATGAAGCATGAGTGTTTTCTAGACAAGAAAAGCCCAACAAAATGAGTAAAGAGAAAGAGAAAAGATGCTCCTCCTGCAAACAGAATCTTAGCCTTAAGAATTTTGTTTTAGAAAACTAACTACTTTGGCTAGCGACCTAATTTCCTTCCGTTTGTGCCATCACTCACTGAGTCCTGAACCTGCCACCTATTTATGTGCTTTAAGAACAGGCAACGGTTTCAGAAAGGACATCATACCTCCCGTTAATAAGTCATTATGCTTAATTACAGCTTAACAAATAACGCACCCTAAACCATAAAGCCCAAATACAAGTCTGAAATCTCTAATCTCTTCATAACCAAGAAAAGATACTAAGAACAGTATACTGTGCAGATTATCAACTTCATAATCTCAGCAGCACGCTCCTTTTTTGCTATATTTAGCAACATTAATGCTTTTCAACAAAAAAATGTTTTAGAAAATACACTGCGCTACCACTAGGTTGTAGAATGTAACATTCAGCTCTTTGCAAAGGAACTTAAATACTTACAAATTTTTTCACAAAAAAGATTTTCTGCTTTTAGGCGACTGATGGTTTCTTTGTCTTCTGGATACCTTGAGGTAAACAGAAGTTTTTCAGCACTGTCTATTCCAGTAATCGATAAGAAATCTTCAATATTTTTACGGATTTGATTATTTTCCTTCTCGGAAAATCTGCCAAACTTTACAGCAATACCTAAAATATACAGAAAGTTTTCTTTTTAAAAAAATAAATAAATAAAAGTGAAAAACATCTCTGGTGCATTCCATTTCAGGTTTTAGCAAACATAAGGAAAGATAAACAAATCAAAAGATGAAAAAAGAAAACTGAAAGAGACAAAACACAAGCTGGGAGCAGGTAATTTACACATGTGCTTTGGGCTGTAATTTGACAGTGAGGAAGTAGATGCTATGAAGCAAAGAATTAGAAAATATATCCATTAGAATAAAGTGAAACAGACTCCATGGATGCAACAGACATGATACAAAAAATAACTTATTTTCCCTCTGTCAAAACATTAGCACAGCTGCACAGTCCTTTCTCACTGCAACAATATTTTGGAGAGCTCACCTTGTTTTTTAAACTCTTTAAACCTCATTAGGTCTCTTCCAGCCATCTTCCTGATTGAAGTCTCTGCTATGGTCCTCACATGAGGAATAAACTCTTCCAATTCTTGTTTTGCAGTATCCAAATCCATGATGGAACACAAAGTATAGTCCAAGCAGTCTTCATCAGAGGCCACCATTTCAGTAAAGGAACTATTCTGGTCCTTCTTTCCATTTGATCCTGAGGGTTCTGGTGTCCTGATATAGGGGTGGAGTGGAGGCCAAAAACCAAAACAAAAACACAAAGATTTTGTTAGTATGCCTACAACTAAAAGATTGACCGTGTTTGTTAATTAAAGAACAAGGAATACTTCACACAGCCACCCTCATGTATTTCCAACCTTTTAACACAGACATAATTTATTATCAAATTTCTATACTTTGAATATACAAAGAGCTTGATGAAGTTTTGAAAATCTGCACCTTTCCCACAAAACTCTCACACAAGAACATACAGAAGAAACAGTACCTGTTGCTACCACTGGCAACACAGAACTTTTCCATCTGTCTCTTACCAGTGCTCTTATTGTGGGTTCTAGACGCTGTAAAAGCACCAACAGCTACTTACATCAGCATTTGTTTGCACAGAACGTTTAATTCTTTAGGTGATCTTACTAGTTGCTTGGTAAAAATGCATATGTTCACTATAAATACCAAATTTAACAAATTTAAACCCTTTCCCTCCGCTTTATTTTTTTTTTTTACTAAATATTAATTGCTCGCACATGAAATATTTCTATACCTACAGTTTTTGAATAGGAGAAAATATTCTATGCTGAAGATAATGGTAGTGTATTTACAAATTTTCATTGTATCTTCACAAGATAACTAAGCTCTTAAAGTAAATCTCTATAACATCTCAATATACTCTAAAGGTTTTTGAAGTTGTTTTTAAAAATACATACCAAACAGCCTGAAGAAAAATCTGGGACCCAAATAATGTCACAGAAACATATCTGGGGGATGGGAGGAAGGGAAAAACAAACAAAACCTAAACTTACGTTACATCAGATTCTGAAGAGCTTTCTTCCATGACAAAAGCTCTGCTTTTTATTATCTTTCTAGCACATCTTGGAGTTTTTCGACATTGATCACCTGCTTTAGTCGGCTTAGAAAAATTAGCAGGCACACCTGTAGAATCTTCACTCATGGCACAAGCAGCATCAGAGTCACCATTGTCATGCCATTGCTGGGGCATTGCCATATCATCCTCTTCTGTAGGTAACGGCAAGACTGTGTCTTCCCCTTGCCCGTTTTGCTCTGAAGATGACAACAGTGAGTGGTCAATGGTTACATCTGTGTCTTCATGTATATTGTCTCTTTTCCTCTTCTTCTTCTTCTTGTCTTCCCCTTGCCTGTTTTGCTCTGGAGATGACAACAGAGAGTGGTCAATGATTACATCTGCGTCTTCTTGCATATTGTCTCTTTTCCTCTTCTTCTTGTTTTCCCCTTGCCTGTTTTGCTCTGGAGATGACAAAAGAGAGTAGTCAATGGTTACATCTGCGTCTTCTTGCATATTGTCTCTTTTCCTCTTCTTCTTGTTTTCCCCTTGCCTGTTTTGCTCTGGAGATGACAAAAGAGAGTAGTCAATGATTACATCTGCGTCTTCTTGCATATTGTCTCTTTTCCTCTTCTTCTTGTTTTCCCCTTGCCTGTTTTGCTCTGGAGATGACAAAAGAGAGTAGTCAATGGTTACATCTGCGTCTTCTTGCATATTGTCTCTTTTCCTCTTCTTCTTGTTTTCCCCTTGCCTGTTTTGCTCTGGAGATGACAACAGTGACTGGTCAATCGTTATATCTCTGTCTTCTTGCATATTGTCTCTTTTCTTCTTCTTTTTTGATATTTTAATGTCATTTTCATCATGTGTTTCTGAGGTAGGAAGCTCATGTGTCTCATTCTCTTCAGGCAGTTTTTCTTTTTTTTTGTTCTTAACAGGATGTTTTAAGTAAACATAATCAGCATCCATCCCCTGACAACTATCAGTGTTATACTGATTTACTGTGATGCAAGTTACATCACTTTGAACATCTGTGCTATCATCATACTTTTGCTTCTTTTTTCTCTTTTTCTTTTGGGAAACATGCATTCCAGTTCCATTACTAATTTCAAGATCCAGTCCTACACAAGAATTATCTAACAAAGACTGCTCCTTCTCCCCCTTGTCTCTGGATTTTTTCTTCTTTCTGTGGCCTTCATCACTCTGTGCTGCCTGATCTTCAAACAGTGGAGAAGGAGGGCTAAGCTCTTCATTTTGTATGGTTTCTCTTTCATAATTTTCATGTTTGTTATTGTATTCTTCATGTTTTCTCTTCTTCTTTTTCTTCTTTTTTTTCTTCTTCTTGAGAAAATCTTGAACTTGAAAATCATCTGCACTTGCTTTTTCTGTCATATTTTTTCTTACCTTAAATAAAATATATCAGTATTACTCAAGTGCTATAATTTATGTACCGTTACACAGTAAAAAAACCCCCAAAAAACCCCAAACATCCAAAACATTAAATACTATAGAACTACTTAATATTATCTTGGAAACATACAATAAAAATACTTACTTTTCACTCCAGCTATTTTGAAAAGTGACTACAAAAAAGCAACTTCTTCAAACAGATGTGCATCACAGCTGTATTCAGCCTTAAAGTTGCCTTCGTATAACAACAAAGATATGCTTTAATAACTATTAGCTTTAAGCTGAATAACTAAGCAATGACAAGACTACAATATTCCACTTTGCCTTCAGCACTGAAACAGCAACAAGCTAAAAGCAATAAAGAAATACTAAACTATTCAGCACTAAAAACAAGTTCTCTAATTAGAAGCTTCTGAATAGCTCTGTCTGTGTTCAAACAGGACCAAGCCCTGCCAAGACCTGCCAGCTCCAACTTACTGTAACCAGAACACATCTATTCCTAAAAAACAGAAATACCCAGGGCAGGCAGGAAGTATTTTTAGCACATTTTCTAGGGCCAGCACATAAAAAAACACAAAACAGCACCGGGTCACCTCTGAAACACAAGACCTTGAATTTCACATCCCCAATATAGGTTCCAGCACTGACCAGAACCAAACGTGACCTCCTCGCCACGGCTGGGAAGTGGCTGCCCTGAAAACTTTGGGGACAGACACCGAACCACGCATGGAATCACAGAATGGTCGGGGTTGGAAAGGGGCCTCTGGAGATCATCCAGTTCAACCCCCCTGCCAAAGCAGGTTGCACAGGACGGCATCCAGGTGGGTTTGGAACATCTCCAGAGATGGAGACTCCACACCCTCTCTGGGCAGCCTGTCCCAGGGCTCTGGCACCCTCACAGTAAAGAAGTTTTTCCTCATGTTTAAGTGGAACCTCCTGTGTTCCAGCTTGTGTCTGTTGCCCTTATCCTATCGCTGGGCACCACTGAAAAGAGTCTGGCCCCATCCTCTTGACACCCACCCTTTAGATATTGGTAAACATCGATAAGGTCCCGCCTCAGTCTTCTCTTCTCCAGGCTGAACAGACCCAGCTCTCCCAGTCTTTCCTTATAAGAAAGATGCTCCAAACCCTTCAACATCTTTGTAGCCCCACATGCCACAGCTCTGGGGTCACCGAACCACACACCCCACAGCTCTGGGGACACCGAACTACACACCCCACAGCTCCGGGGACACCGAACC